GTTCTGCTTCCCACTCTGTCTCTGGTGAATCCTCTGCACCTCTGGCCTGTACCCCAGTTCTGTATGCATAAATACATACATACATACATACATACATACATAAATAGGGGAGGTCAGGAAGGATAAAACTAAAAAAAAAAAAGGCTTGCACACAGTAGGCACTCAAAAACTATGTGTTTTTGAATGAATGAGATGAAGTGAGATGAAGCATGTGAATTCTTCCTTGTATTACACACTACCTCTTAGTATTTACTGCTTGGAGAAGGGGCTTTTTTTTTTTTTAATAATATAATAGTTTATTTTTACATCATTTTGTGCCTTTCCCCATCTCAGTTGTAATCCCTGTGGACTTCCCATCACCAAATCACCAGTGTGCCATCACCATAGTCCAGCGCCCTCCCCTACCCCCCATTTTTGATCCTATTCCTCACTCCACCGGAAGATGATAGTATTTTATTTCTCTCTTTTCAAGAGAAGGAGACTGGTCTTCAACTTGGATGAGGTGTAACAAGCATAGAGAGAGAGATCAGCAGTTCAAGGTGGGTGAGGAGCTATTTATTATATGTTATTTTAAATGAATTCAAGATCAGTAAAGAAGAATGGAGGGGTAAAGTGCAGGGTTAAATGAATTCAAGATCAGTAAAGAAGTATGGAGGGGTAAAGTGCAGGGGGAGGCAGCCTTGCTGGTGCTGCCTGCATTTACTTGGCTACAGCTGCAGTGGGGAATTTGGCAAAAAAAAGTTAAAAGCATGGATTTTGTAGTCAACACAAGTAGGTTCAAATTCTGTCTTAGCTATTTTGGTAATTGTATGATCTTTGGTAAGTCACATGACTTCTTACCTCTGTAAAAATAGGAGCAAAGATTCTCTCTCACAGTTCTACTGGGAGTATTAAATGTGGTAAAACATGCAAAAATACTTGGTTAAGTGACTAGCTCTTAAGTAGCCCTCCCCCACCTCCATGAGTATCCATTAGTGACTGGTCAACAACATACTTGTGAGTTTCCATGAGAGGAATGATAAAGAAGGGGTAGTCTTTTTGGTTCCTAGAACAGTACCTGGCACACAGTTTTCCATATAGTTTTGTTAAGTAAATATAGATTTTTAAACCCTGAGTTCAGAGGCAGAGAGACGCTGATCTTATATATGTAAGCCAGGAAGGAAAAGAATACTGTTTCCTGTCCTTATTTTTACTCATGTGTTTTTGTGTAGTCAGTAGGACCCTGCCCTTATCTCCTTATCTTTTAATGACTACATAATACTTCTTTGCTTTCTTGAATTTTAGTTCTTATGACCATTTTTAAAATTAGGACATTTAGTTTTTTACAAAAACATTTTTTTTAATACCATTGTAAAAAGTACTGAGATGATATTCTGGTTCATATATCTACATATATCTTATCTGACTTTTTTTTGGGGGGGGAGGGGTGTGGGAGCTACATTTCCAGCAATGGAATTTTAGGTTGAAGGATCTCCTTTTCCAGAAAATTTACACTGACTCTAGCAGTGTATTAAAAATGGTAATGTCGTTAAAATATCATGTAAAATAAGAATGTAGAGAAATTCCTCCCAAGTGATAACACCTCAAGAGAGCTAGCCTGAGGAATTGGGTGGCGTAAATAGTGTTCTGCGTTGTTGGGCTTTAACAGTCAGGGCTTCTGTCCTCTCTGTTCTGCAAAGATAGGAGATGGGTATTCTTCAGATAGGAAACAGGAACTCAGTGGGTGGACCTAAAAGGGGAATGTGAACTTTGAAACAGGAAAAAAGAAGTTGGCCTTTGATAGTGAAAGAGACACATTGCTATGCTGTCCTATTGCCCCATCCTACTAGGTCAAACTTCTATATCCACTTAGCAGTTATACCTATTCTGGGATTTTGTTTGCAGTTGTTTTTTTTTTTTTTAATTTAAAAGATTTATTTATTCATTTATACAGAACTGGGGTACAGGCCAGAGGTGCAGGGGCGGTGAGAGGATTCACCAGAGACAGAGTGGGGAGCAGAACAGGCAGATTGACAAAGTGAACTGCTGAGGGGAGCAGTGTGGGGGTGGGGGTAGAGGGGGACGATAGGTCTGCCATGCCATGTGGGTCAGCTCCCTGGCCGGGATGGAGCTAGTGCTGCTTTAAAGAGCTGCTCTTTAACCCACTGTGCCACTAGGGAGGGCCCTCATTTTGCTTTCTGATTATTATTTTACTGTGCTCTTTTAGTGTTTCCATGGAAATGGCATCTACTTAGTTGTTCAAATCAAAGCCCAGGTAGTTATTGGATATTTTCCTCTTCTTCACTTCCTACAACCAATCCTTTGCCAATTTCTGACTTTTTCTCTAAAATATATCTTTAATTGGTTTAATACTCTGATCTTTCAGTGTTCTAGTTCAAGCACATCACCTCTCGCCGAGAGGACCGTAGTGCCCTCCTGCCAGTTTGGAATTTTCTTTCCATTCTTGCCTCTGCCAGTTCATTTCCGGATTTTAGGGCAAGTAATATTTTATTGATTAACTATTGAGGTAACATTGGTTTTTAGCGCTGCACATGATGTGAGTTAGAGTCACACATCCTTAGATGTGTATCTTCACATTACACACACAGAGCACCCATGTCCCTAGGTCAAATAATCTTTAAAAAATTAAATAGATGATATTATTTACATAATTTCTTTTCATACTTAAAGGCCAAACTTGACCTACAAAGTCAAATTGGAGCTCTGTTTACTTTTCCAGCCCCACCTTTCGGTTCTTTTGGCTTGTTCTCTTTACTTAGTCACAGTGGCCTTTGTGTTCCTGATTCTTCTCTCAGTTCTTTACAACCCTGGGGTTCTTACATGTCTTTCCCTGCACCTGAAATGTTCTTCCTGCCACTCATCACCTGCCAAGTTCTCAACTGTCTATAGATGTTCTTACAGAACATTTACAGCCTCTTCTTTCCATAAATTTCTCTTCCATTAGGGAGCACGTTTCTTAAAGCCATATTATGTTGCCACTAAACATCTAGGACTTAGCAGTGTCTGGCATAGACCAGGTGCTTGTTGTCTAAATTTATAACAACTGGCACAGTATTAGAAAGAAAATAAATTTTAAAATACAGTTACTCAAGGAAAATTTCTTGCTGCCATTTAAGTGTACAAAAAAAGGATTTTCAAGGTTAGTATCATATACTTGAATTCAAGAATTATTCTTTACTGCATGATACCGACAAAAGCAGTAATATATATTTTTGATAATATAAGTTTATTTTTACATCATTTTGTACATTTTTTTTTCATCTCAATTGTAATCCCCGTGGGTTTCCCATCACTGAGTTACCTGTGTGCCATCACCATAGTCCTGTGCACTTCCCTCCCCCCACCCCCATTTTTGATCCCATTCCCCACTCCACCCCCACAAAATGTCTCTGATATATGGCTGTTCATTATTCTTATTATTTTCTCTCCTGGTCCATTATACTCCAAAAGCTGTAATATTTTAATCTACATGTAAGAAATTCCTCTTGAGTATTGGAATAAGTTTTTGGTAAGGTTGGGATTAAGATGGCTGCATCTCTGTGGTAGGGACTTGAACACTTCCTCTTCCTCACTGGGGCCATGGATACTCACCCGTAGGCTGTGACACAAAGCATGGAAATGCTGCTGATTTGTCTCCAGCTCATCCCAGTCCAGCTGCCAACAGCTGGTGGGGCTGAGGATGAATGGGAGTCCATATGTCAATGACTCACAGACCCCACTGGATTTTAGAGCTCTGGAAAGACAGTGGCAGTGAAAAGCTCCTTAGTAATATCTAAAGCCTCCACCCAGATCTACTTAAATTCAGTTTAAGACCCTATTGTGAAATTCTTTAGATTAGGGCTTGGGCCTTATTCACCCTAATATGGTCTGCATCTAGCAAGGTACTTAGCTCACAGCAAATTCTCAAAGGCTGTTAATCAATAAAGGAAGCAGTCATCACAAGGGCTTAAGACTGATGGATTTTCTTCTGTGCTCTTTCTATTCTATCGTTTCTGCTGCAACAAGCATATTACACAACAGAATGCTAACCATCTACATTCCAAAGCGGTTGCTTTTGTGGTAAGGTGCTAACAAAGAATGCCTTTAAAAAGAGGATGCATTTAAGAAGGTTCCCTTCTGACCTTACTCAGATACTTGTGCATGGGCACTGTGATAGAAATTAGGTAGCAGTACAAATGGTGTTTGCCATCATTGAGAATTCTACCTTAGAAGTGGGGGGTGGTTGAGGAGGGTAGATTCTATAAACTACTTGTACCTTGAAGGTCAGATCTCTCTCCTGGTGCCAAAAGACAGTAGCTATTCAATAAACATGTACTGAATTTTTGTTAAGTCAGTGTTCATAATAAAGGTGAAACACCATTTTTGGGCTGCTCTTCTTTTTCTCTGCATTCAGAGACCTTCTGGATTTCCAATCCTCACTCAGACCTCAGAATGTCCTACTGAAGCACACCTTACACCATCTGCTCCCCTGTCTCCACATGAACCAATCTGACCTTGTTCTTTTATGCTTATTCCTGTAACCGCTTTGGAATTGAGTTCTGCCCTCCTGGTTTTTGTGGGTGGAGGACCTCTGGACTGTCTAGTCAGAACCCATAAGAATAAGCATTTGTACAGAGAGGATGTAATTCAGTGGACCATACTTGACTACCCGGAGCTTGTAGCGACAGGCTGATGACTGGGAGGCCATCTGGTAGAGTGTGCTGAAGTCTCCTTTGGGGTCATCCATTCTCAAGGAGCCATCAGCTGTGCCAGGGAGCAGGGAAGGGCTGAGAAATCGCTCTTGGATATCACATTTCAGGCACACTGCAATACAAATAAGATTAGGGAGGGATTGTTTGTCATAAGTTACCTGAGGCTATGTGATTAAAATGCAACATCTGCCATTCATTCAACCTCCACTAGCAAATTAAGGTTGTGAAGAGGCAGGGGAGAGGGAAAAGTATGATTGGTTTGGGAAAGCAGAGCAGGTCTGGACTACAGTGTTGCTTTATCAACTGTTAACTTTTTTGGGGGGTCCAACATGGTTTTTACTTCCTGACCTCAGGGTTGGCTGATCAGCTGCCTCACAGTAAGAGATCTGGTTTGTGATCCCATTCTGGGAGGACTGTGTGACCTCTGTGGAGGAGGTAGCTAGCAGTACAATATTCTGAGGCCCTTTGGCAAGCACAGAGGGGAATCATGCCTCTGCTGCTTCCCTGTGGCTAGGTTTTAGCAAGACTACAGGTTAGAAGGAAGAGCAGGAAAGCAGAAGTCAGTCAGCTGACAGCTAGCTTCTTTGTGGACTCTTCTAGGGACATTTGGGGGGAAGGGAGGAATAAGTTCCTGAAATAGTTTATTTTTCACTTCTCCAAAGAAACCAAACCATAGAGTCTTTGGAGCATCATGGTGGAACCCTACAGTAGTTCTGAGGGGGGCTTCAACTAGGTTTGATTATATACTTTTCTGCGCTAAGCTTCTGCACCAGAGATATATGCCACACTGTGCAACGTTCGATCGCACGGGGGTTGAGTCCCTGACATTACAAACTTTTTAAATGAACTTTTGATGTGTACTGGTTTGAATATTGCAAACAAACTTTATGAATATATGAATGTCAAATACTTGTGAGGCAGCTAGTAGCTGGAGATAGTGATATATGAAAGGACTATACAAACTGCAACATGAGGTAAAAACAAAAGCAGAAATAATCTAGAGAAAAAAATAGAAGTCAGATCCAGCAGGTCCTCATGGGTGAAAAACTCAGACCTAGACAATAATTCTGGGTGAGACAGTTCCTAGCCTTGTGTGTGTCAGAGCTCAGGATGTCAGTAGGAGGGACTTTGCCTAAAAGTCCAGCTTCCCCTCATTTTCTCTGTGCCCCACTTCTTCATTTTTGAGTTCTGGGCATTAGGACTACACAACTATGTCCCTCTGGCCAAGGTTCTCAAGTGTGACAGCAGTAAAATCCCCTAGGGAATTTTGAAAACATGCTAATATGTGGGTGGGTCCTACCTCACATCAATGAAATTAGAGATCCCAGTGATGGAACAAGAATTTAAAATACTCTGCATGTGATTCCTACTGTAGCCAGAGCTAAGAACAACTCATGTTGTTCTCTAGGAAAGCTCTTTTAGCAGAGTGTGAGTCTAGGATCAGGTATGCTTCTCACTGCCCAAAACCTGATCAGGTACAGAGGGAGGCAAGCCCCAAATCTAAGCAGTGAAAAAAGACACTCACCTGAAGATTACTGAACACTCTGTCCCTCAGAAGGGGACCTGTGTGGGAAGCACCTACAGATAGGGGATACGGCCCTCTGGCAGCTACAGAGCAGGTGGCGAGGAGTGGAGAAATTTGTAAGGAGAGTCCAAGTTAATATCTGAGGAACAGTTCTCAAAAGGTCCTATAGTGGGAAAGATTGGGGGATTTCTTTTGCTTCATTGTTTGTAGTGAGCCACATTTACAGAAAACCACACATGTAGCAATACATCAGTTTTTTAAACAATGGATATCTACTGTGTGGTCTTTATGGTCACAGGTGGTTCATACCCACCCCAGAAGGGGCCTGTTTTCTGCAGAAGCCTAAGTACCTGATTCCAGTGAAGCTCTCCCCAGTGGAAGAGGTGATGACTCTAGATCTAAGTTCTACTATGAACCCCAAGAACCTGCAGATTTCTAAAAATGATTGCAGGTAAACATTCTGGCTCTGACCCTGGTGCTGAAAGCCACAGACGTCAGACAGAGCACAACATTTCTCAACAGAAACATGTGCAAAGGCGGCAATGGAAGAAAGGCTGGTTGCAGGAATTCCTGACTTTTGAGGTCCCCTCTTCCCCAGTCCTCCTAATAAGATGTGACACAGCGTGACACAGATTCTTTGTTCAGAATTGCCAGGTGTGAGGCAGGGCCCTAGTTCTGGAGGAAGATAGATCTGAGATTGAAGAGTGAGGTCTGGACTGAGTATAGTCAAATGCAGGAAATACTATATAAATTTCTACTCCGAAGTGTTAACAGTGGGTTTTAGAGTTGCTTGGTTTCAAATATTGGTTCTGCTATTAATATTCTGTGCATCCCTGGAAAAATGTTTAGTTCTAAGTTTTTGAGTCTTTAAATACCATTAATGGATTTTAAGACTCCCCCACCCCCGCCTTCCACATACTAACATCTCTTTATATGTCTTATGATTTCATTGGCCAGGAAGACACTCTTAATCTTTTCTTACTACTTTAACTTAAAAGAACTCTTTTAATATGAGTAAAATACTATTTCTAAGTGATAAGAAAGCGTCATATTTAATTGGCAGTGTTTTTCTTTCTTAGCGAGATAAAACACTGGAGGGTCCTATAATTGGTAACATTTTAGATCCAGTGATGTGATGGAAGCTCCTGTTTTATGGTGCTGCCTGAAGATGATAATGCCAGAAAAACAGATGAGAAGTGGACTCCAAGCAATGTGGACAGAGAGAAATTGGTGCTATTGGCTTTGGCAAAAGGGACAGAAAGGAGGTTCTCAAAAGATTTTATATACGAAATCACGGGAGGCTGTCAAAGGTATAAGGCCCTAGATTAAAATAGGGCTGGGTGGGTGAGTTAAAGACCAGATAGTTATGCCTTGAAAGAAAGCTACAAGGGATGTCTCCTCTTTTAGGGATCAGGGTATGTACCCACTTTCCTAAGTGAACTCATATCACTAAAGGGAAGGATTACCTTGCTCCTCTACTTTTGAGGCTGGGGCCTAAAGAGTCATCTTTCCCAAGCTTAGTATGGCTGAGTATGCTGATAGACCCACTTACAGGCCTGTTCTGAACTCCAGATCCTGAGTTAACCTTCAGGGAATGGGAGAGTAGAAATAGCCTTATCCCTATAATCTAGTGGGACTTGGAATGAAGTATTACTGCCAGTCAGGGCAATATCGAGAGCCTTGCTGGAATGTCTGAAACATCAGATTCATCTCTTGGTTTCAGTAATTGCTAGACTCTGCTTTGTGAACTTGGTTTGGGGTCACCCATTGTCCTTCCTGAGATGCGCCTCTGTAATTGCTTCAGTTGCCCTCAGTTTTGTGTGTCCCTAGCCAAAAGACTTCTATTTGATCTTTGTTCTTTTCCTGTCCCCACAGGCCCTGTTCATGCTTTTGAGGACAGTATGCCTCTAATAATAATGTCAACAATATCTACTGTGTAATAAATTGAAAACATTGGAAAAAATATACATTAGTCTCCTAGATTCATAGGTGATACATTCCAACACTCCAGCAGATACATAAAGCTGTGAGTAGTGCAAACCCTATACGCATTGCATTTCCTATACAGACATAGCCATAATAAAGTTCATTTATGATTAATGATAATTAAAATAAAACAGTAAATTGTAACAATATATTATAAGTTTTGTGAATGTGGTATCTCTCTTTCAAAATACCTTACTGTATGTAATATTTGCAAACCACATTTGACCCTGGGTAACTGAAACTGGAAAATGAAATTGCAGATAATGAGGCACTATCCTATGATTCCTTGTGTCTCATGCGTTATAGTGGATGCCCTATTATTGTGATGTCAAAGTCTTTACCCCAGACTAACTGGCCCTTGCTGCCTGGGTTTAATAAAATTTCATTTTCTAACTGTGGTCACTCTTTCGAAATTCTTTTCTTACTCTTCATGTTTACACTGGATCACCTCATCAGATCGTACTCCAATCCCTAAACCTCAACCACTCTATTCTGATGACTCACCAATCTAGAGACCTAATCCCAGACTAGGATAATTATAGCCTCTATAGCATATCTTTTTTTGGGGGTGGGGTGAGGGGTGGGAGAGGTGTACTTGGATTATCTCTGGTTCTTGTAATGTTGTCAAAACACTGTGAAGGGAGAAGAAGATGGATGTGCTCTTGGTCTGTTCCATTGTTTTGTAACCAGGCTTTGAAGAAAATCTCCATGCTGACAATATCACTGTCTATAGTCTGAAGGTCAATGTCAGTCCCCAGGATACAACTCTCTGAAAAGAAAGGGAAACAGTAGTTCAAGTGTTTAATTCTTGAATTGCAAATTTTGAAAAGTATAAAATTTTAAATGCACTCATTTTTTTCTCCCCACTTATAAATTTCCTAGCTATCTAGCTTAGAGACATTCCTGGATAGTACACAAAGAGACTATTCAAAGATGGTCAGTATAGCCTTGTTGTAATTACAACTAATAAAAACCTCAAATGGGAGGCAATTCCAATATCCATCAAGTAGGAGATTGTTGAAATAAATTAAAGTGTTCTCATACTATTGAATATTATGTAACTGTTGTCAAAAGTCAATGTACTGACAGGGAAAGCTAAGAGAATAAGTGAGTGAAAGGAATTGTATAACAGATGTATATAGTATGAGCCCATTTATATAAAAATAAGACTTTTGGCTTAAGGATGTACATATGCATGTAAACACATTTTGCAAAGTCTGGAAGGATACCACCAAACTGTTAACAGTGAGCAGAAGTGGTAATGGGGCAGAGGTTTGAGATATCTTCCATTTTTCTTACTCATACTTCTATAGTATTTGAATCACATTGTAACTATGTATTTTCTATATTTAAAAAAATTCTAGGGTGCAAAACTACCACACAATTCTACAACAATGCAAGTTGAATATGTAGTTAACAAGGGGGAATTTCAGCTTTACGTTGTTTTACATTGAAAACACTCAATTATTAGTTCTCTCTGTTACCAAAAAAAAAAATCTTAAAAAGACTATAAAAGAAAAAAATATGTATTCCTGGGTTCCACCCTCGGACATAAATTATACAAGTTTGTTTACTGGCTTATTATATCTCACACATGTGATTAGCAGCTTAGAAGACAGGGATGATCTGATGGAGTGTGATTTCATCCAAAACTGAATGAATGGAACTGGACTCATGGGGTAATGAACAGTTGCTGTGCTAGCGCTGGATTTGGGGTATGGGTTTGCAGTTAAGGTTGTCGTAAAAACCAAAAATAAGGTAGTGGAAGATGAACAGAGAGGAAATTAGGCAATAGTTGGAAAGAAACTTAAAGTAACCCAAATTTCTTCACCTTACCATGAGGGACTCTCTCAAATACCTTAACAAAGGGCCTAAGAAAAGCCAGTTGCTCCAATGAATTAACGTTTGTTTATGACTCATAGACCCCAGGGAGAAGGCTGGTTTATTTCTAGTACATTCCTGAGGACAAGTCTGCAGAGGTGGCAGACTCTCCAGGGGAACAAAGAGCTTCAGTTCAACATGTTGGTACCCACACAGGGGAGGTGTGGTGAGACTTAGATGAATGACTTTATGTCCTATTTAATGACTGTGGCTGAAAAGGGGCTCCAGATGCATTTCACTTTGACTGGTCTTCTATGAAGAGTTCTGAGGGCTCATTGCTAACTATTTCATTCATTCCTCTCCAGTACTCCTGATGTACTACTACCAGGCAACTTTTCTAAAACATGTTTTTATTATCTCCCTCCTTTGCTAAAGGAGGCACATGCTTCTTCCTCTGTCATATTTATTCCCTTCTCTCATCCTGTGCCACTTGGTACTATCATTATCCTCCAGTACCCCATCCATCTTTTCTTCTGCGATAGTTCATATAATTCCTCCCAAATTCTGTTCAGGTACTTTATAACTACCCCCACTTCTGTGTTTATAAACTTATATAGCTGATCTTTAGCAATCCCTGCTGAGTTAAACAATTGTTCTCTCCTTTCCAGCTCTCATTGCTTTCCCCTGTAACTCTTCTGCTTCAACTAAATTAGTCTCCTTGCCACATGACTTCCTTCCTTCCTTAGTGCTTTTATTACTCTGTCAATTCATGGCCTGCACCGCCCCCCCAAATTCAATTCAGGGGCCTTCCTGGTGGCATAGGGGTTAAAGTCAGCACTATCAAGCTATTGTCAGCCACTGCAGCATGAGTTCCATCCCTGGCCAGGGAGCTGACCCACACGGCACAGCAGACCACTTCTCTCTTACCTGCTGCTCCCCTCCGCAGTGTATTTCAGTAGAACCATCTGTTCTGGTCCCCACTCTGTCTCTGATGAATCTTTTCACCTTCCACCCCAGCACCTCTGGCCTGTACCCCACTTCTTGTATGAATAAATAAATAAATAAAAATAAATCTTAAAAAAAAATTCAATTACAAACTAACTTGCCCAGGAAGTTATGTTTAATTGCATCCTCCCTTATTAGGCTTTAATTAGCACCCCTGGGGTATCTGTGAGTTTCATTTGGACAATAGTAATTATGCTTATTCATTTGTTTCATTCATGAGTTTATGAAAAGTAATGGGGTGTTGTGGAAAGACTAAGGTTTGAACTGTGCCTTGAAAGTTTTGCCTATGCAAGGTATAACCTGTTTCATAATTATAGTGAAGCATAAGAAGTGAGATGATTATCTGTAAATGGCAAGCAGTAGGTCCAACAAATGGCATTTTCTTCCTTTTTGTTCATTAATAAAATGATGTGCACTTACAAGGTAAGGCTGTACTTTCCTTTCTTAAAATTTTCCCCCTGGTGACTCCTTGATGACTACTTTCTCCTCCCCTGTCCCCCTTCCTAAATTACCTCTCTCCCTGCCCCCACATGAAAACATTGACACCTGGTACTGCGTTCCTTACAAATACAACTAAATATGCCAAACCTGGGGAGACTTCTCATTTTTCAGAAGGTGAAGGGCAGACCCCACAGCAAGGGGCCAGGACAAGGTACACTGGATGAGATAGGCCTACCAAGTGATGAAACAGCAAAGCCACCAGAATTAAGTGTCTGAGTGTCTGGGTGGTTTTGACAGTGAGAAAGGCCTGGCTTCCTGCAGCCCAGCAGCAGGCAGAATTCACATTCCATTTTTTTTGGCTTACCCTGCCCCCCTGTGGCCACAAGCAGTGGCTTCTTTACTGAGCTCTGAGGTTTTTTTTGGAAAGGCCACAATAATGGGAAAAACTAGGAAAGCTAGGTGATTGGTAATAAGTTGTGCCTAAAGAAACCCACAAGTCAACCCTAAAGTAGGGTTACAAAATGTAAATGTATTTAAAATGACAAGAATAAACACTTTAATACACATATCTGTATATAGAATGACTGTATTTCTTTCTTGACACGAATGCCTAAAGCAGTGGCCAAGGGAAATGGTACTTTTCCCCATCCCACATGGCCCTGACCTACAAGCCAGACTATTTCTTTCCAAATGGCCCTCAAGTGACCTGTCCTTTGGCATCATGGATGGACTTCAGGAGTTATGGGAGCCTCTAATACTGTATACCATTTTATCTGTATGTATGTTGGTGGGGTAGAGGCAGAAGAAAGGCCTTTGATTTTTATCAGATTTTTCAAAAGAGCTTTCTGATCTCCTAGAAAGTCAAGAACCCATCCAAATCTTGGAATTATAGTATCTTAGTCCCCACAACCTAATCTAATCTCTGACTGCAGGAGTGGTAACAGGCTATTAATAAGTAGGATAAAGCAGAAGCAATCTGTGCAGGAACAGCACAGAGTCACTCAGCCAACAATGCCATGCGGATAATCCCCAACAGCTCAAAACATCAGGGGCAGTCCAGCCTATTTTTCTGAGCTCATTTGCCTCATTTTGGAGGTGATGCTTGGTCTTGTGAAAAGCAGAAGTTCATGAAAGGAGGTGGTAGGGTGTGGATTCTGCAGAGAAGTGAGTGTGGGACTGACCAAAGTGGTGGCCAGATCCTTGGGGATCTAGTCTACATGAGAGGTTAAAGCATCACTAAAACTGTAGAGAAAATTTATGAGGTACAGAAAATTTATTTCCCAGAACTTTTCTAGGGAGAAGAGTTCATTCGTTTATTCACTTATTCACTTATTTCCCCACCGGTCACTTGTCACTCAAACAATTACTTCTTTAGTGTCTTCCATGAGCCAGGCAGTGAGTGGAATCAACTGTGAAAGAGAAAAATTCTCTGCTTTCACAACAATAGAACAGAAGAAAAAAATAGACATATTCAGATGACGCCTACTATGAAGAAAAATATTGCACAATCAAGGTGTGTGCTAATTTTTAGCATGGCTGGCCAGAAGTATTGTCTAAGAAGGTGACAGCTGAGCAGAAACATGAACAAAGTAAAGGAGAGAGTCATGAAAACATTTGTGTTCCTTGTAGAGGAACACACATTTAAAGGTATTGAAGGGGGAATGTACTTGATGTGTCAGAGAAATAGCAAGAAGGTTAAAGCAGGGTAAGGAAAGAAAGTTAGGATTGGTAAGCTGTGGGGTTGAAGGGTGAGACTCCCCGAAGAACATGCTTGTGTAACAACAGAGAGTGGCTAGACTTGCTTCTGAGAAGGGTGGGTTCCATTATTGTCAGGCTTGGTTTTGCTTAGGGAAATTTCAAGACTGGCAGAAAAGAGTGAGCACACCCTTTCTTTCCCTTTCTCTTTGCAGATTTGGGGCCCTAAACAATAGTTGAATAAGTATTTTAAAATTTGTTTGAAGGGGTGCCAAAGTATTAGCTTATATGCGATGCCCTATGTCTCAGTGAATCAGGAAGTTGCTAAGTTTGCTGCTTGCTGGAGCGGAAAGTTCTTGCAGTATGCTGCTTGCCCACAGTAGTAGCTATGACTACATAGATCCCCCTTGCCAAACAATAAAGTCTGTGATGGCTGGTGTAACAAGCTTCCAAATACATACTGTATAAATCATTACCATTTCCTGCATTTTGGAGCTCAGACTTTAGGGAGCTACCCCACTCAACCTGCTGGTGTGACAATTAAATCTCTCTCCACCTCCCTGAGTGTCGTCTGGTTTCTCTGGGAAATTGCCGTAACAGCCGTACAGCCTTCCCATACATGCTTTCCTTTTCTGGAGGGGGTGTGCAGTGACTGGTAGGAGGAAGAGGAGCTTGGTAGACCCGCCAGCAAAGCTCAAAGCAGGCCTCTCAGCTCAGAGTGGACTCTGGTAGAGGGTGTCCTTCCACCTGGCTCTCATCAAGTTGATGCAGTCTTAAGTGGGCTAGAAAAGACTTGACTACTAACTA